ATAAAATTAAAAATTCTTACGAAGAATGAGGTAAATAATTCATCCAATACTGACTTAGAAATTTAGATATGTTTGAAGTGCGGAGAAAATTAAGACATGTGTTGGGCGTAGTCTAAATCAAAGACCGCGTTATGTATATTACACAATTTTACTTTCTCTATTCAAACGGGTTTGGTGGAAGTATTTATTTTAAAATGACGTGTACATATGTACACATATAAACATTTTGAAAAATATGGTTAAATGTAAATTCATTAAAAGACTTAGCAGGCTACAAAATATTACAAGATTTGGCCCTTAGCAGACGAGGATAATGCACGTTTTACAATGTGCCAAGAATTTTCCCGCTACAACTCAAAGAGAAGAAACGAAGTGGCGGATCTAGAGGGAGTTTAGTTTTTTCCTCTAAGAGAGAGCAAGGATACCAACATATTTGCTGCATTTTTATTAAATTAAACTACACTGCATATCTAGTTGTAGATTACATTTAATTTTAGTTTTAAACTTTTAATGTAAATGCCATACAGGCCCACGGTTCAAAAGTTGTTGACGCAGAGTACCAGGGGTTAAATACTGAACATGCATTATATAATTAAGAAAATCATGCAATGTAGAGCACAAGCTTTTAATATCACGAGGATATATATTAAAAGATAAATATAAGATATTTTAAAAACAGACCACCATAGTCTTTAGTTGCTTCATAAAAGGAACATTAATTGGTTTGCAGCCGATTTTTGACGCTTACGTCAATACATGTTTCTTGTCTTAATTTTTAGAAAAACACAGGTACGTGTGGACAAGAACCCCCCCCCCCTTGATATTCAACCCCGGGGCTTATTTCTCTGTTATGTGTAGCCTTACAATACGAAAAAAATCGCTGGCGTAAAACCCCCAGAATAATCGCTCAACCAAAAAAACAAAACAAAAAACGCTATTTATTACCCCACTTTACAAGAAAGAAAGCTGTTTACGGAAAAAATGTGGGATTATTATGTGATGCAGAGTCAGTCCGATAGCATGGACTAAGACAGAAATCAGTGGCAGATTTAAGGGGGGGGGGCGCACCCGGCGCGCGCCCCCTTAAAATTGTCCAAGTTAGCATAAAACATAGTTTGTCGAGAAAATGTTTTAAATGTCTACTCGGTAGACCTCATTTTTACCCTACAAAACCTCTAGAATCCAAGAGCTTCCGGGGCCTTCGCCCCCGTTGCCCCCACCAGGGCTTTGCCCTGGACCCACTGGGGGCCTCAAGGCGGCCCCCAGACCCCCTGCCTGAATCTGGCGCCCCCCTAACTTCAATTCCTGGATCCGCCCCTGGAAATACATTGTATATGTACATTTAGAGACAGTGTGAATCGACATATAAAGTTAAAACAAAATAAATGCATTTAACTCCAGTGGGGGTACAACGTAAACAGACTGGAGTGGCATATCCTTCTCTTATAATGTATAGTGGGTTTTTTTTGGGGGGGGGGGGTGTTGGGTGTTGAGCGATTATTCTGGGGATTTTACAATTTTTTGTTATTGTAAACATGATGAATAAGTTTAATAAATAAAACTTGTGAAAAAAATGTCCAATAAGCCCTAGGGTTGAATATCGAGGGGGGAGGGGGGTGGTACCTTTCACAAGTACCTGTGGTTTTCCTAACACAGGAAATGCATAAAAAATTAAGTTTAGTAGACAATTCAAAAATATATATACTCCTGATATAGGAAATCTATTTAATATTTAAGAATCTATAATATAAATAAAAATATTTTTTGCTGATCAAAATTCCATTAATTATTTAAATTTCCCTCTAATATATATAACACTTTTTCTTGCATTGTAATTTAATCAAATGACCCATTTGATATAATTATATTGAACTATTTCTTGATAGTAAAAACATAATAAAGGGAAATAATCAAATATTGAACCCGCTTTTGATGGTTAATCTGGATCTTGAATCTCGAAACTCGAATTTTGAATCTCGAATTTCGAATTTTGAATCTCGAATTTCGAATCTCGTATTTGGAAACTCGAATCTCGAATGAGCCTTCTGGGCTTTCGTATAATGGTTACCCTGTGTTTTGAAAAATGAGGTAAAACGAGAACGTGTAAGCATATCTAAACAATTATTTTAAAAAATCAAAAATTGTGGTTATCCACGTTAGTCTGAAATTCAAACAGATAATGAAACTTGAATCCATTGGTTTTTACCGTCAAAGAAAATTTATAATAAGATGCTTTTGACAAAAACAGCGAAAGTCTGATAAGAGCAAAGAACTGCAAGAGCACAAAAACAGTTTTATATGACATTTTCTTAAATATTTATGGTCTTGTCATTCACATTATTATTCGGTGAGGCAGTTCAATTTCTGGAGAAGTCTAGAAAGCAAATATCTGCAAAAAATCGAAAGGTCTTTGAGAGGAAGGAACCAAAATCAGGAATCCACTACATGAAATTTCGTCATGACGGCGTCCAAACCCACACGCAATGAAGAGTAAATGAGTTTTGAGGATTAAACAGAAAGTTAATGTTTTGTCACACCAACAATATTCACCAGATCTTACACCTTTTTTTTGTTTCATTTCTAAACTTGGGGAAAAAATACCTATCAGAATGAAGAAAAAAAAAACAAGTCCAGGAAATCATAGGATCTGCCATATTCCAGTAAACGAAGGGCCATACTAAAAATGTGTTCTAAAAGCAATCAGAAAGTGGATAAAAATGTTCCGGACATGTACAACCGAGGACATTATTTCATGAACAGCCTCCGTAAATATACGGACAACAATGATATCCAAATTGATAACTGATTAACATTAATCCAGTCACTAAAACTTATATTTTCACCCTCGGAGTTTTTTTTATTATGTCGGATTTTTCTCCAGAACTCTCTATCATGAGAAAAAAAACATTTTTGTATTGTAATGAGCCAATTTCACGTTTTTATATTTTGAGAATTTGTTATTTTTCTATTTTTTTTTTTCTTTCTTTAAATCAAAGAAGTTGATGATCAAGAACATTTAACTATTCTTTAGTATTCCATTATCACCAGCTTTTGGTGTATATGTCTCCCAACTTGACCGATACTTACATTGCACATGTAAGAGCTTGCTCTCTAAGTACGATCAATTTTTTAAGTGAAGCAGACTACTACCTGATAAGTTGATGTTACAGGGATTTTTACAGCCTCGTTTAAAAATCAGCATTTTGTAAATATGGTTGTTATAAAGACCTTGTTGGCAAATATTACTTATCACTGGGTCCTAATTTGGCTGACTTTTTTCATACCAATTGTTAGGCCTTTGTTTTATACTTATTTGACTGCGGAGAGTAAAGTCTGCCTGATCAATGCATAGGGCTCAGTGCTGGTACGACCGTCAACAGGGGATGCTTACTCCTTCTAGGCACCTGATCCCATCGCTGAAATTTCCAGGGACCCGTGTTTTATGTCCTCTTCACAAATGTTTGTATCAATAATATGTTTGTAAATATCCTCACCTTTTACATTTCCTTTCATTTGAACATATTTTATTGTTTAACACAAAAGGATCAGAAACAAATTCTTCTCCTGTATTTCCTTTGAAAATAACACACTTCTGGATTTTTTCTTTAAAAGATTAATTACAGAAAACATGGCAACGTACGTTCTGAAGCATTAGAGACAAAACAGGATAAAGAAACAAAGAAAAACTGTATAATTAGAATTAAAGAAATTAAAGATTGAAGAAACGTACTGTCTCAAAATCTCTGAACACCCACCTTAACTGCCATAAAAAGAGATACGGAAGATTTTTCATCTTCGCTAGGCAAGGGTTTCTGATACGCTACTCTCCTCATGAACCCTCGATTATGAAGAGAGAAGCGTATCAGAAACACTTGGCTGGCGAAGATGAATATTTTAATGATTTACTCAAAATTTGTCACAAAAAAGCACGTGTATCTATAATAATATAATTTATCCATTTTCCTCATCTCCTCTTTTTTTCTTGATTGATATTTATCTCAGCAACAAAATAAGGCATTATACATTTAAGAAGATCATAAAGGTTTTTTTCTGTGGCAAATCTAGCAAACTTTCCCCCAAAAAGTTAGAAATCTTGTTGGTGTTTGTGAGCTTGGTGTTTCCACGTCCATTCCTTAGTTGGCTTTAGGGTCATTACTGACAGCGTACACCGGTCACCTCGTGTTTTTACTTGTAAACAAAGGTGGGTTTTAGTGAGAAAGTACGATATGACATGATTACTATCCATAAATATTCATAATGACTGATTAACACATGCACCTCGTGTCAAAAACATGGCGGCTGTGTGCTATACTACCATGTAAACTTGAAATAAATGCAGCTAGAAGGATGGAATATTGTGTAAAACAAGAAATGATAACCAAAAGAGAGAGAGAGAGAGAGAGAGAGAGAGAGAGAGAATAAAAAAGAAAAATGAGAAACAATGGAATGAGAAAATAACTCGACCTCAAAGTGTCAACCAAGTCTTTGCCTTTGATTTAAGAAGATACACTGGCGAAGATGTTATCTAACATTTAACGTACTTTAAGTAAAAATGTCCCCGATTTGCAAACATTGGAAATAAAATTGAAATTATTTGCCTTTGAAATAGCATGTAAACACACTAAAGAGGGCAAAGCAAAAAGATCATTTTCTGTAATAACATTTTTCCATATGAGTGGAATTTTTATTTAACTTTTTTGTTTATTTTTTTTATTTGTTTGTTTATTTATCTATTAATTAATGAAATAATTAACTTATATTATTTATTTATGGAAAATGCAAATAAAGTTTTCAGTTACTCTATATAACAGTTTAATATAATGTTTAGAATACTTGAATTCATTATGTACAAAGTATGTAATTCAATTCATGACAAATTATCTTATTTATAACAAATGGCGGATCTAAATCTTATGAAAGTGATATCATATTACATTGAATATCCGGAAATATGCATGCCGCTTGATGAAAAACCGGTTTAATTTCGTAAACTGGTCCTTTTCACATGAGAACCAGATAATGGTGTAAACATGGTGTGAATCCCACAAAATGGGCTTTCTCCGCCTTATGTATCGAAGGAAGCACATTTTATTCTTATTATTGTGTGCCACTACGCTGTGGTTATTCTATTATATATTGTCCTTTTCATCAGGTATTCACAAAGTTATAAAATGCATTTTAATATTATTAGCTAGAATTTCCTCGGTGATTCGTCATCGATGACAGCTGTACATTACACATTGGTGGGCGTGTATATTATATCTATCAGGTTTATCTTCAAAAACTGCTGTGTCTTAAACGTGTTTTTAACTGGGATCCACGTGACTTTTATGATCATAAACTTTTTGTTCCTTTATTTTCTCAAAATATTTCGAAATGCTTCATTTTCCTGATGAGTAATGTTCTCATATTTATTGCAATATTGTAATTTTAATATTAGCTTGTCTACATGAAACAGCCAATACCTTTCAAAGTTAATTGAATTCTTTTATATCTGTTGAACAGTAATTGAGTAAACAGTGTTCACAGCTTGCTTCACAACTTGCTTCAATATTCAATTTGGTTTCTATAATGGATAAACATGCATGCACTGGTATGCAGGTACCCTAAAATCTTGAAAATAAGCTGCGGCTTATTTTAAGTTTTGGTAAGAAAGTGGGGGCTTATTTTCAAGACCGTCTTATTTTCAAATTGCGGCTTATTATCAATGCAAAAAACTGGTAAGAAAAGAGAGCACTCTTGTATTCATTGGCGTTTCCCGGTGTACGTTCTTTCGGTCTAAGGTGCACATGGTGTAATCAATCGTCTACTTTATATTTTGAGAATGCCGATCCAGAAAAGTTAAATTTCATTGTATACAGCATATGAATTTACATGAAATATAAACTTGTTTTAAAAAAGTAAAAATGATATATAAGATATCCGCTTGCAATTGAATCACCTGATAAATTAATCAAACAAACATATTTTTACACATATTTAAACAATTAACTCAATTATACGGTACATTGAAATATAATTACTATCATGCCCTGCCGATCAGCAGGTTTCTTACCTCGGGCAGTATTACCTGACAGTTAAATGCTTTACAAACAAAACCTTCCTTTTATCCATTTACTCATTTAATTATAACAACTTTTAACACATCGTTAGCTTGTACAGGTCTAGATGGGTGATTATTGTTCTCACAATTTCATGAAAAAATTCACCATTTTAGCTGGTTCCGCAATGAAGTTTTTATAGCCAGCGTAACATGATTACTGGTAAAAAAAAATAACTTTATAAACAACCCTTTATTAGTAATTTTACATACGTTCATTAGTAGCTACAGACTTAGTTCGCACTATGACGTATGCAGAAATTCGTAAAGGTTAAATGAATTAAAGAAAGATAAATTTTTATTTTGCACAGTAAAAAAAACGTCTTCACTCTTCAAATTTTTAAGAGGAGGAAATCGTCAAACTGGCTAAAAACATGGCATTGTCATGACCGGCTTATTTTCAAAACTGGCTTATTTTCGAGTAATTTTTAATGCAAGAAAAAGGTGGCTTATTTTCAAAACCGGCTTCTTATTAAATCCGTCTTATTTTCAAGATTTTAGGGTATTATAATAACAAATCATTCGACTCTGTTATTGTCAGTCTACTTTAAACAAAAATACCCACAATTTTATTTGAAATTTATTGAGAAAATAAAGTATTTCCAGATATCGTGGATATAATTTCTCAAGATTAATTTTTGTCATTCTTGTACTAATGCACATTTCAATAAAAAATTGTCGAACAATTTTGATCAGAATTATAGTTTATCTTTTTTTTTCCTTTGTAGAACATGAAGTTGTCCGTTCTTCAAGTCCAAGTAAAGAGGAAACAGCACAAAAGGACCAGAAAAAGGTCCAGGAAACATTAAGAAAGGCTACAGAGGCCATACACAATAATGTAAAAAATAGTGGAGTGATACAGCCCCCTCCGAGGGGAGATGAGCTCCTCCAACCCCCACCTAAGAGGGAGGAGAAAACAAAGGCCCCCACCACCACGTCTTCTCCTGTAAAAGATGGAGAAAAAGCGGGTCCAGGGAGCAAGATGAATCAGGAAAACAAAGAGAAAGAGGGCAAGGAGGAGAAGAAAGACAACGCCAAATCAAAGCAGGGAAGTAAAAATATAACTCAGACAGAAAAAGCAAAAGAGGAGGGGAATTTTGAAAAAGTGTTGAAAATGGGAGAGAAACTGAAAAATAAAACACTAGACTTAGGTGAAAAGATGAAAAATAAGACCATGGAAAAACTCTCTCAGCTTGGAATGATAAAAACCCTAAATCCAATAAAATTTATTTATGTCCCAAATGTGTGGAAATTACAATTGACAATGGATGACCTAAATCAAGTGATGAAGGACACTAATCATTTAAGTAAACAGGAGAAAATAGATGTTAATTACCCCAAACTGCTTCCTGTTAAGAGTAACGTGACGGAGGGTAACCAGACTGTCGCCCTACGTAAGGTCGTGATGGAAAACAGGGTGGGCTTCTGTGATTGTCGAGATTACGAGTGTATGTGTTGTTCACGAGTGACTCACAAAAGAATTCAGGTCAACATGACCGGATGTGCCAATATTACATTTATGTCCAAATCTCAGGTAAAATATTCACAAGATTCGAAAGATTTTTCACTGGTGATTTGCACTGATTTCAAATTTTGCACTGTATATACAGTGATGAAGATTTTTTCTTGTTCAGGTGGATTTTTTTTCTGGTTTGGTATGGTATGGTGTAGTACATGTATCAGTCACGTGAAAAATGAGAAAAATTGTTTTAAAAAGCCCAAGCAATTTTTTTTATTTCATTTGATTTTACACCATGCTTTGTACACATTTGATTTTAAAATACCTCAGTTGTAGGGATAGTATGGCAATTTTACGATATTTTTCAGGAGCTGGATTTCAGATTTTCAATGGATAAGAAACCAGTTTATAAAAAGCAAATACCAGGTAAGATTTTTTTCTCTCTCTCTGTCTCCTCCCTCTCTCTCTTTCACTCTCTAGCCATCTCCCCCCCCCCTTTCTCTCTCTAGCCATCTCCTCCCTCTCTCTCTTTCTTTCACTCTCTAGTATTCTCCTTCCCCTCTCTCTCTCTCTCTCTCTCTAGCCATCTCCTCCCTCTCTCTCCCTCTATGTCTCATCTCTCTCTGTCTCTCAGAGTTTAAAGCTTTTATTCCAACAATTTTTAATTCCATATTCAATTTTTATTCTAGTTGAACCAGCTCCAAAGATTTGCCTTAGTTCTCATTCCAAGGTCGCCGACCTCTGTGTGGGATTTCTAAACATGACCTCCAAAGTCACCGTACTGGAGGATCACAAGTTTTTGGTGGTGGGGTGTCTGGAATTTAGCATTAGCCTTTTTAACAAGACTGTCAGCGCATTTCCAGTAGACTGTTTTCAGATGCCGAGTCATCAACATCACCAAAAAGAAGACAGCGTGAAGAAAATGGCTCAGGGTTTTGGCAATTGGGTGCCATGATGATTGTTAATGGATAGAAAAAAAACATTCTCATTTCTGTAAAAATTTTGGTAGATTTACACATAATTTATTATTATTATTATTTTCATGAAATCATTTTGATAAATGGAATGTTATATAGAATATTTTACATTATTTGACATAATTTTTTGAATTTTCTGTATTCAAAAGCAAGGAATCTTTGAAATTAAACATTTCGGTTTTTAACAAAATTGAATTTGAATGAATTGTAGACAGTTATTTTTTTTCCTTATGGGAGCTAATAACACTACATTCAAAAAGAGAAAACTAACAAAAATAATTATAATTTGGCTATTTTGAAGACATTCCCTTTTAAATTTATTTTTTAAATAAGTTATAGGATTGACAATATATCAAGTAATAATGTTATATTAATTCATAGTGTGAAGCTAATGAATTGACGTGCCAATATTTTATGCAGTATTTTCTTGTTTCTTTTCCTTCATTATAACATTTATTTTTTTTTTTTACTTTTAAGCTAAAAATTGTAAACGAATGTTAATCATTTTTGGAATACAATTAGCTTTACATTGTATAAAAATAAAAAATGCCCATAATCTGACTGCCAGCTAAAGTGTTCGGAGTTAGATGAACATGAATTTATTGAGGAATTGGCACAAAACAATACAGAGATGAAGATTTGAATGCATTTGTTTAACATGTTTAAAATTTTTGTTAAAAATGCACAATGGAAGTTTTTTCATTTATCACCTTACGTCCAATAGTTATTTGTTGAAAAGCACCATAAATGAATAGGTATGTTTCAAAATTTTCATTTAAGTAAACTTCTCTTCAGATTTTCAATTGACAGATGTTCTTCTTCTGTTGATGCAGATTTCACATGCCAAATTAAAAGGCAATCTGCACGTACTTACTGCTGTATAGAATCATTCATATATAGGTACTGTGGAAAATGTATAATATTATACATGTATATATGCTCATCGGGTTGCTGGTCACTGCAAAGAAATTCGGGCAAGTATTATGGACAATGGGTCTCATGTTTCAAGAAATCATCACAACACTGACTGTAAATCAATATTGAAATATTTCTGAATTTGTTTTATGTTGTTTAAAACAAGAATGTTTTTTTTTTTAGATTTTTAAAAAAATCTTTTCATGTTTTTTTTTTCATACTCATAATTTAATTTTCCTTGTTTTGCTTAAATCTTATAATTCCACTCATTGGCTGGTTGCTATTGGTGACTGACTTCATGGCATTTTTTTCCCCTTTCTTACATTGTATGGTTTACATTATGCTTCATATTTACTATTATCATCATTATACAGTTATACTTGTATCATGTTTATATATGTGTAGTATTTTATTTTTTAAAAATTCATAATTTTAAAAACATTTTCTGTCTATACTTTGCTATGTATTCTAAATGAAAGAATGGTGCACATAATGTACAAAAGATTCATAGTAGTAATCGATTATTATTATTGTCTGATGAGGAAACACTGCAGCTTTAACTTAAAGGAAAAAGTAGTAAGAATCCATCTTATGTACATATAACTTGAAAGAACTTGTTCGAGTTTTGCATAAATAATTTAAAATTTTTGATTTTTTCTGTTTTCATTTCTGATGAGTTTTAAGTATTTAAGTTACATTTGTGTATCATGGAGAATAAAGATTTTAAAGTAATACACGCTATATGAACGCCGAATTTTGTGTGAAACAAAATGATTAATGATTTGAAACACATGAAGTGTAATGAAAAAATAATACTTTCCACAAAATTTTACTATAGACGTCGTTGTAATAACAAAACAATTAAGCAATATCTGGCAATTAAGAATTCAGTCTTTTTATGAATATTGAAGAAGGAAGTGCGTAGACAGTAGGCCTATACATGTATATAGACACGCATGTCCACGGGAAGTCACAGACGAGGAATGTTGCATTTTGACAACAATTATAACTAGTGCTAATTGTAACGGGGACCGTTACAGATGTTCCCCAAACGCTCCCCAACTCCCTTTTGGTGCCATATTCCCTGTAAGCTTCATTAAATAGGACAAAATCTATGCATTTGAGACTTTAACAAGTTCATTCAAATTTAAGCATTGCACGCGTGCGCATGTGAATGCATGTGTGTAATGACCATATCATCTTGTCTACACAATCTATATATTTTTTATATACTAAATATTAAAGTATTTAATCCAAAAGTATTAAAAAAAACGTTCATTCAAGTTTATTTTTGATTTAACTCATTTCACGTGCACGCACGTGCATACATGAGCATGGTGACCATATCTTCTTGTAGAAGTCCATTACATCTATCTATGTTCTAAATCCCACCCCGTTTGGTTGAAAACCAAGGGAGTTATAGCTGTTTAAAGTTTCAGCCAATCAGATTGCAGCGCACATACATGCATGTGCATGGTGACCATACTTTCTTGTAGAAGTCCATTATATATATCTATGTTCCAAATCCCATCCTGTTTGGTTGAAAATCAAGGGAGTTACAGCTATTTAAAGTTTCAGCCAATCAGATTGCAGCACACGTGCATGCACGTGTTTTTATGATAATTGCTATACATCTTATTGTAGGATATCTTAATGCATGGCTATGTTCAAAATTTCAAAGGATTTCGTCAAAAAGCAAGAAAGATATTGAGACTTTAGTTTCAGCCAATCAGAGCAAAGCGCACGTGCATGCGCGTGAGATCTTGCTATTTTGACCATGTCATCCCGTCTATACTACTAATATATCCTTATATTATGAGTTTCAAAGCATTTCATCAAAAAATTGAAAAGTTAAGGTAATATAGATTATATTGGCCATTTAACGTGTTGCACGTGCGCGCTCTTGCAAGCACGTGCGCGCAAAATGACCTTTGTTTGGCAAATCTACATAACATGCCTACTGACCCTAAAAACATTTTACCTAAGTCAGATGTGTAGTTTACAAGATCACTCGTGGACAAAATTTTCCCAGGAAGAAGAAAAATAATAATAACTAGATGCGATCTCGTTGCAAGCAACGAGTAGGTCTTCCGTCCGATATCTGATGGAATAAGACCTGTGTTGGGATGATTCCCCTGATAGGATAAAAAAAAATACAAAAAAAAGGCACAAAAATTCTTCACAATGTTTAGAAACACACACAAAAAAAATGTAGGATCTATCAATTCAAATCAACTTCCGGTTCTACTTCTTCACTTCCGGTGCGACCGTATGTGCTCAAAACTACTTTCAACTCTACATCAAGTATGCAGTAATCATCCCTGAAAGTTTCGATGGAAAGTACTCATTTTTAGACAACTTCCGGTTTGAACGAACCGTACTTTCGGTGGAAATATTAAGATGCTACGCATTCTTTAAATCTTTATAATGAACAATTACGTGTATTTAAATTACGTGTACTTCCGGTTTACAACGGAAGTGTCGACGGAAAAAATGAGCAAATTAAAAGTATGCATTTTGTTGGGAACATTATTTTGACCATCTTTTGTTCAATATTGCTTCTCAAAATATTCACGCTTTTCGAGATATAAAGCGTCAAAGATTTAGCATTCTAGCCCCCTGTCACCCTTTATTACGTAACATATGATCAAATTTCAAGTAGATATTGTTGCAAATAGTTAAGTTGAATATCTTTGCTTCAGTAATGTATCACAAAATATTGATCATTAAAGAGTTAAAGACGAGAGACTTTTGGCCCCTCTATGCCCCTAATTTGAAGGGCTAACCCCATTTTCTTGATATCAAATGAAAGGTCTTACTATATTGCACATTTTTTATTATATATGTCTTAACAAAATATTAATGATCAAAAAGATATAAAAGAAAACGTATTAATTTTTGCGAGATGCTTGTGAGCCTATTTTTTGAGCCCAGGTAAGCGTCGATGCCTTTTTACCTGGAAAGCTCTATATGCAAAATGTCACATCTACTATCCTTCCTCTACCTTCACTGCAAATCTCAAGTCGATATCTTCAGTCGTTTAGGAGGAGATCTCAGGACAAGCGGACCCTCTAAAAATCAGAGAATCGTCCATATCTCACGGCCGGAAGTGACGTCATCAACGACGAAAATTTCCGACAAGGTTCAGATGAATATCAATCAGATCTGAAAGTTTGGTGGAAATCGGGCGAGCCGTTTCCGAGAAATCGCGTGCACAAAATCGGTAAGAAAAATAATAATAATAGGGAAAAAGAAACCGAACGAAAACAATAAGGTCTTCCGTTGGAGACGGAAGACCTTAATAATAACTAGTGCTAATTGTAACGGGGACCGTTACAGATGTTCCCCAAACGCTCCCCAACTCCCTTTTGGTGCCATATTCCCTGTAATTTCTATTAGATAAGAAATACTTTATAGAATTTAGACTTAATCAAGGTCTTCCCAGAAAAATACAAAATATATTTAAAAATAGGCATTGCACGCGTGTTCATAAGCGTAACGACCAAATTATCTTGTCTACACTATCTAAAATTTTAATATCCTTAAAATCAGAGCATTTAATCCAAAAGTATTAAAAAAATACACTCATTCGAGTGTATTTATAATTTTACTCATTTCACGTGCTCGCACGGGCAAGCACGTGCATAATGACTACACCTTCTTGTAGAAGTCCCTTATATTTATCTATGTTCTAAATCAAATCCTGTTTGGTTGAAAAACAAGGGAGTTATAGCCATTTGAAGTTTCAGCCAATCGGATTACAGCACACATGCATGCGTGTGATTTCATAAATTTTTATCTTTATCGTATTAAAGGATATCTAAATGAATGACTATATTTTAAAATTCGAAACATTTCGTCAAAAAACAAAGGAGATATTGCCATATAAAGTTTCAGCCAATCAGATTGCAGCACACGTGCATGCGCGTGATTTCATGATTTTTTTCTATATCATATTTTAGGATATCCTAATGCATGACTATATTTTAAATTTCAAAGCATTTCTTCAAAAAACAAAGGAGATATAGCCATTTAAAGTTTCAGCCAATCAGATTGCAGCACGCACGCATGCGCATGCTTTCATGAATATTTTTATATATCATGCTGTAGACCTTCATTATGTAGGACTATGTTCAAAATTTCAAAAGATTATGACAAGAAACAAGAAAGATATTGAGGTTTTAGTTTCAGCCAATCAGAGCGAAGCGCACGTGCATGCACGTGAGATCTTGCTATTTTGACCATGTCATCTAGTCTATACTACTAATGTGTCCTTACATTATGAGTTTCAAAAAAATTCATCAAGAAAAAGAAAAGTTACAGCAA